AATCAAACGCAGCTACTCAGGAAAGGCCGGGGCCCCTCTGGAGAGGCCGGTGATTCATGTCTCGCTTGCTCGGGGTGGGAGCACAGGCCGAGTATGAGCTGAATTCATAAGACCTTCTCTGTTTTATCTCACAGATGTTTTGGGGATGGATGTGTCAAGGAAGGAGGGGGGGGGGGAAGGGGGGGGGGGGGGGGGAGAGAAAGAAAGGGAAGGAAGGGAAGGGAAGGGAGGAAGGAAGGAAGGATTAATGCAAACATATGAAAAGGGCCTGAGTCTTGAATATTTCAACTCAAGTCCTAGCAGTTCAGTTGCTAAGTGGTTTAACTTGAGGAAATCACTTGCCTGCTCTGTGCCTCAGTTTCCTCATCTGTAAAATAGTAGAGTTGGACTAGAGTAACTCTGAGATTCACCCTGCTAAGATAGTACAAATTTCTGCACTACTCCCAGGCTGAGACATACACCATGGCAGAGCTGGCATCCCATCATACACACTGCTGCCATCAGGCACAGAAGAAGCTAGAACTCTGGATAGCTTGAGAGTCAAGAAATGGACGCAAGAGATGAGCATATAGGACTTGGGAACACCAGAACCTGTGAGTTACCTTCAGAGACAGGGAGAAACCCAGAAAGAAGCCAAAAGCTCAAAGTTTTGGGGACCAAGGATAGAAAATTATACTGCTACTGAAAGGTAACTTAATAAGATGAAAGTGGAGTTTAGTGTGTTGCATGCTGGGCTGTTAACCAAAACATAAAGGAATGAATCCACCAGCTACTGCTGAGGAGAAAAATTAGTCAGTCTCTTCATATAAAGATTTACGGCCTCAGAAATCTGATGAAGGGCCAGCATGAGTCAGAACTGACTCAACAATAATGGGGAAATCTCGAGTCAGATTATCTTGGCTTAAACCCTACCTTTACTGCAGGTTTGGATGTCAGACTCCTTCCTTACTTTCTTCGTGCTTCAACTTTGTCAACTATAAAGTCAGGAAGTAATAGTAATTCTTAAAGTCTTAACTAGAACAATCTAAGTATCAAAGCATGGAGTTCCTACCACAAGGCAACACATTCTTAACTGGTTTTGCTATATTAATAGAAAATATTTTAATATTACTGTGACTAGGGAGGATAGAAGAAGAATTGACGCCTTTGAGCTGTGGTGCTGGAGAAGAGTATCGAATGTACCCTGGACTACCAAGAAAACAAACAGATCCATCCTAGAGAGGGTTAAACCAAGCTACTCCTTGGAGGCAAGGATTGTGGAGCTTCGTATGACATACTTTGGACATGTTGTAAGGAGAGACAGGTCCTTGGAGAGGGACATCATGCTTGGTAGGGTGAGGGACAGCACAGGAGGGGAAGACCCTCTATGAAGTGAATTGATTCAGTGACTGGGGTAATTGGGATGGGTCTGTCAGAGGCAATGCGTTTGGCACAGGCTAGAGCAGGGTTTAGGGCTGTTGTACATAGGGTCGCTATGAGTCGCAAACGACTCGACGACACATAACAACAACAACAACAACAAGATTAGATGGATTCTAGCCCCTGCTTCTGCTGCTTCATTACCTTGGAATTCAGGTTACACATTTGTAACTTGAAGAACTAGACAAAATCATTGTTTCTCAAACTAACATATATATTTGTTGTTGTTGTATACTATCAAGTCAGAACCAATCCATAGCTGACCCTCTAGCTGGTTTTCAGAGACAGTTAATCTCACAGGAGGAAACTGCCCTCAGAGCAGGTGGTGGATTCAAAATGTGTGCTCTGGGGATCGCACAGCAGTTTCTTACATATATATATGACTGCCTTCAAGTCAAGCACGACTCATAGCGATCCTATGAACAAAGGCCTGAAGGCTTTCTATAAATACTGACATTTATCAAAGTTCATAGAGTTTCCGGAAGCATGTTACTCAGGAAGTGGATGCCACACACACACGAGTGAGTGTGAGTTGGCTATGAGTTGGTTCTGACTTAACAATACATAGCAACAAATTATACACACCACACACACATATATATTTATTCATAAGGGTTCCAGGGTCTCTAGAAAAGTTTTCAAATATTTTGTGTTTTCATTTCAGTGGCCATCTAAATATATTCTGAGAAACTTCTCTGTATTTTCTGAATGCCTACCTTTTATAAACAAGTTCTAGGCCAAGATTTCGAAGCCCACCTTTATATTTGTGTTTGCAGATTGGGTTGGCATCAGTCTAACCATAACAGTCTAATAAGAAAAGAGACAGATGCAGATTCAATCTATGAATGATAACTGTGCCAAAGGGAAGCCACATGACATCAAATGAAAGTTGTTCAAACGGCAAATGGTTGGAGAACTGAACTTGTAGAACACTGTAGTTCAATCTGGCCAAACTCAAAGCATAAGCACTATGACATATGCTACCATCTTCGTGTTGCCGCCTGTAATCTGGCTACAATATCCTCTCTGTCACCACATTAAAAGTCCTAATTTGAACAGTACCAGTTTTGCAATTTTGTTAGCATTTAATGTTTTGTTTAAGTATGTATGGATTATGTAGTGGTATAATAAAGTCTTTATATCTAGTTTCACAAACATACCTAGTTAAGTAACACTATAATAAAAACAATCTGGTGGAAACAAAATATTTTGTTCTTTTCTCTAAGAGTTACTGTGGTTTGCAGGGATGAGGAGAGCAGAAAGGGAATGTACAGATAATGAACACTGTAAAGCTCACAGGAAGAACAATCCATTTGGGAAGAAAAACAGACAACACAGGTACTGCAATTAGCAACTTGGAACAGGATATATAATTGTTCAAATGGAGGAGGAGGGAGGGAAGAAAAAGGAGTGGGGGAAATGGGGGGGAGGGGCGGGAGGGAAATACCAGGGCAGCAGAGATTAGTGGACCGATGGGGAGGGTGAAGAAGGAAGAGCCAAGGTGCAACAAGGATTTCAGTGAGACGTGATGGTAAAAGGCACTGATCAATTTTAATTAATAGTAGAAAACAACATTTTTGAATGAATATATTAAAACCATTTAAAAAAAAACAATTACTGCGTTTTAAGAAAACACTTTACAAAACTATCTCCAAGGTACCGCATAGCAATTTAAGTTGAAAAAGATGGTAAGTTTTATGACATACATGTTACATTTCATTAAGACCCTCATGTTAGGGTGCAGGCTTTGAACTTAGGGAAAAAAACAAAGCCGTGAACAAATAAACATGTCTACGGCACAGGGATGCAGGTGATCCCAAGAGACTGGATGAGAACCCTCACAAAGGAAGACAAAAAAGCCAAGTGCTGATGTCTGAGCTCCCAGGAGCTCACCGTGCTTTCACCATTGCACCCTCCTCTGTAGAAACAGACTGTTCACCTCTGCATGAAGGAAGACTGTGAGGTTTTACTCAAAGAATTATTAGCTCATCTAGAAAGAAAATGGTATGGAGCCCTCCTAGTAATAAAATCACGTTTCAGCCACTGTATTCCTTGGGACTGTGATCAAAGTCGAAGGAGGGTATTTAGACCGATACTCAAGGATCCAGTCATTGATTCCTAAGAGCTGGGTCATTCATTCATTCATTTTGCTCCCACCTCCCAGAAATACTCATCTGGTGCTTTTGCAAAGTGAGGTGGCTGCTGGGGCTATGGGCAAAAAGAAAGACTACATGGCCATGAGACAACTCTGGCCATGGGACAAGTCCGTGCTAGCTTCCAAGGGTCAGAACTCACATCCAGGGCCTTTCCCAAATCAAAGTGAGCACGTCTACCAGGCTGGCCTCTAGAATAAGTTCCAGAACCCTAGTGGCAGCTACAGTCTTGTTTCATTCAGTCACTTTGTGAAAGTTAAAATGATTCACTGTCCTCCTCCTCACACACACCCAGTTCCAAACCACTGAAAGAAGCACACGAGAACTCCATTCCCACCCCACCCCAAGGAAACCAAGCTTACTGTTTGTCTTCTTCTGAAAGTCAGGTTCTTCCACAGCAGCAACCTCAGCTGAGGCCAACACGCCATGTTACCTGAGCGGCACCCACAGCAACCTGCAGTGTGGCTCCGGAGCCCAGCCCTCGGAGGCAGTGACAGAAGCTCACAGCAGGGACGCTGTGGCTGGTCATTAACTGAAAGATAAAGCAGGAGGGGGAAAGCGCTGTCGGTTATTACTGCAAAGTCATACACCAATGAGGGCCAGTGCTGAGGCCCTTTCACCTGAGAACCCAAACCCCCGCGTCTGCGCCGGGACTGCTCCCCAACATCAGGGACCCTCAATTCTCAGCCATGGAATTCTCCAGGAAACCTAGGACCAGTCATTTTGGTCTTAATCATTTTCCATACAATGGTGTGATCATTTGGGAGTGAGACACACCTGTGAAACAGACTCGACAAATAATCTTGGGTGGCCAAAGTACAGAGGCTGGAAATGGCATCGGAATCCCGGAGTCCTCCCTCTCTTCTCTAAAAAACTGTTCTCGTTAGATAGCGTGTTAGCAGCATCTAAAATGTATGCCTCACAGACCAGAGTGACTAATGCTATTCTTGGAAATTCGCTGTGGTCTAAATCCCCTCATCTGCCCAGGTTGGGTCCTTCCCAGTATAAATGACATCAATAAAACCATCCCCATTTTTCAATCCATTTTCCCATCCAGAGAGCCACACAGCACGTCTTGGAGGACTGCAAGGAAAACACCAAGGCAACGCCACTGACACCCGGCTCCCAGGTGGTGAAGACAATCCTAGTACTGTGTCTCTGTGGCAAGAAAACAGTAACCTACAGAGAAACAAGTCAGCTACGCAGGCTCCTCACATTGTCTGGGAAGCCGACAAGCTCCAACCGTCAGGACATATGCACACTTCTGGCTTGGCTCTAACTGCACCTGACCACCTGGTCCCTGTCAGGTGTCCCACATACATGACTCCTCTAAAGGCTGTTTCACCGTGTTAGGGAGCTCTGGTGATGTCGTCCTTAGGGTCCCTTGCAGTGTCTCTCTTTAGTGGTTCAAACCCACAGTGAATCCGGAGGGAAAGAGGAGCCTTGACCAGCCACCACAAGGTCAGCTATGAGTTGATTCCTGATTTAATTGCCTTATGAGTTTTCAGCAAGATAGTTGTTGTTTGATTTTGGGGTGGTTTTTTTTTTTGGGGGGGGGGCAGTTTCCTACACAGGATACAATGTTCTCAGTGTGTCAGCTGCCCACCCAATGATATTGTTACTGTGTAGCCTCAAGTCAGAACCTACCCTTAGCTGACTCTCCAGTAGTTTTTAAGAGGCAATAAATTGCAGCTCTATGTATTAACTGCTGGAATATTCCCAAGTGGTAAAATACCCATGTTAAAGCTAAAGATGCAGTAGGAAATTAAAGTAGAAAGAGAAAGGAGGCATAAACAAGATAAAACTAAGGCCCACTGGTACTTGGTAGTCCTGAACCCTTACCAAGTCCCTGAAACCAGCTTTACTTTTAAAATGTCTCAGTTAATCATTGTGGGTGGGGGTGTCAGGAACAAAAATGGAGAACAAATAATGTAGGAACACCTTGTGGGGATCACATCTAGTACTAGTCTCAAATTCTGAATCTAAATCAAAACTCAAGGCAAAGGTCAATTTCTAATACAATATTAGCTCTCCACCACAAAAACTTCTAGACAAGAGAAAAGAAATGGAAGGAATTTCCAATGTCTGAGAGCAGCAAAGATTCTTTCATTGTATACTCTGTCTTCATGCATTTCAAAAACCCAAAACAATACATCAGGAGTTCCTTTAAAGGCACAAGCTTTATAATTTAATTCTTCATCACCTGCTCAGCAAACCTCCAGGGAAAAGCAGACCCCCACGAAGTTTCTCACTCCAAAAAAGGAGGGTTAAACCAACACATATCACCTTCCACTTCATTGTTTAAATACCTCAACTGGGAGCCAGAATGTTACGAGGCATATGCTTCGAAGTGGCTTAGAGTAGAGCTCGCATTCCAGAAACACTGAAATAATTAAGTAGCTAGATTTGCTCAAGCAGAAGCTGCTCTTCAGTAACCACTTGGTTGACCAGCCGCTGTAAGAATCCGTCCAGGTTCCCATAGATCTGAGGAGCAGCTCTGGGAGTGCAGTCTCAGGGGTTGGGCTAACCAAAAGCTACATCTCCAATGGTGAGAACCTACCCGCTGCTCCACAGGATAAAAATGAGTAGTTTCCTCCCACTTCTATTTACAACCACGGAATCCTTTAGTGAAGACACTAGGATCTGGAACTAACTCAACTGCTTAGAGAATCTGGGAAACTCTAGAGGTAAAGTCGTTGAAAGAGTTAAGGTGTTGAGAAAAAAAAAAGTCAGCAGGTCGAGGTCAACAACGTCAAAATGAGAGAGTGTAGTAGTAGTCAGCTTTCATGAGCTTCACAGCCTTAGAAACCCACAGGAGTGAGACGTGGTTTGGTTTTGTGTTGTTCTTTTTTTTTCTTTTTTTTATTTTTGTGTGAGTGTACCGTCAAATCAGATCTGACTGGTACAGGAGGAGATTGTCCCTCCTTTTCCCGGCAGAGCATCTGGTGGATTCGAACCGTATGCCTCTGGGATTGTAGTTGCAGCTCCTTGCCACTAGGCCACCAGAGCTCCCCTACGTTGTTCTTTTTTTAAGATAACACTGAAGAGGCTGGAACATGTTTGTTATTTCAAAAAAGACACAGAGTAGAAAAAAAACATAGAAATTAACTGCAACTATGCATTTCCCAAACAAGGGCCAAAGGTTTATGTTCTCTAAGCCCCAATTTCCTATGGAAAAAACAGAGACTATAAGACCTACTTTCCCTAGTTGTTCTTAAAAACTAAATGAGATACTTTAAGTAAGTTCCCAGCACACTGAAAGGCACATTGTTAAGGAAAAAGAAATGCATTTCCTGTCCCCCATTCCTCTTTCTCCTTTTAAATGGATTTCCTCCTATAGAAAACTGGTTACATCCTGCCAAACATTCCTTTCTATTTTATTACTAACAAATCCACCGTGGGTTTCTAGAAAGGTAGAAGAGACAAAGCAGGGGGAAATTGGAATTTTCTAGTTTTAGAGTCTCTGGAGACAAACCTTGAGGGAGAAGAGGGCTCAGAAGAAGAGGTGGCTTAGTAGTTAAGGCATTGCACTGCCAACCTAAAGGCAGGTGGATGGAATCCACCAGCTGCTCCACAGAAGAAAAGACGGACAATCTCTTCCCCATGTGACTTACAGACTCTGAAAGCCAGCTGGATGGTCAGTGAGGAGTAGTTTCTGATTCAGTGCAATCAGTTGTTGACGTTGTTTTCGTTAGAAGGAGAAGATGAGTTTTCTGGGTTAGCAATTTTCTAAAAGTAGAGTTTCCAGTTTTCTAAGTATTCCATCCCCAGCCACCTCCCGAGAGACACACACAAAAAGGTAGCAAGAAGCATTCTGGAGCAGCAAGAGAAGTAACGGTAGGCAATCTTCCTCCTTCCGTCCACTTGGACAAGAGTCTGGCTTCCTCTACACTCCCTTCCTCTACCCTGTTAGGAGCAATTATGTCCAAAGAAAAGGGTTTGGCAGTGCACTGGGTCCTTCAGATAAATGAAGCCAAAGGGACATTTCCACATCCATTTTCCAAGGAAGTAAACAAATAAACGAAAACTAAAATAGAAGAAAAGAAAGGAAAGGCAGTACGATGTTCTGAATTTCTCAACATTGCACACACATTTCCAGTTACTGGCTGGAAAAGGTCCCACTTTTCAATCTCCACACCAATCAATAGGTCGCTCTCTTCTCACTCCTGGATGACCACAAGAGCCACTTCACTGGCCTTCTTGCCTCAAAACCTTTTTCCACACAGCATCAAAAGTCACTTTACCACACCAAACACCTGAAAATGCCACTATACTACTTTAAGCCTGTGTCTTCTCCCAAGAGCCCTCAGGATAAAGTCCAATTCTCCCTGTGGTTTCCCTGGCCTCCCAGATGAGCTCCCACAGGGACTCCCTCCAGCATTTTCACTACACTTTACCTCCCAGGCAATGCCCTGGAGAACTACTTCCTAACTCTTCCCTTCCACGGAGGCTTCACTGGCTCCGTTCCTCTTCCTGAAACACTCTTCTAGAAGCCTGGGTGGCCATGCTAACTGTTAGATATAAAAAAAAAGCGTGAGGGAGAGAAAGAAATTGTTCCCAAGAAACAAACAGGCCTTTATTGCACAGTCTAAGAGGAACACCAAGTGACCTGGGCGCATAGCACGCAGACAAGATCGAAATGGCACGCGGACAGTCTGAGGGGGTTCCTTCCCATAGGGGTCCTGGGGAGAACTAAGATGGTGTTTCTCAGAATTTGGCGTGTTGATTAAATTAGGTTTTAACTATTTTGATCAGGCTCAGACACTTATCAGGATCCACTGTCTAATCTTTAATATGACCAGCCTAGATGTTACCAGATTTCTCAGGAAGTGATCAAGCTTGGGGGGGGTGGGGGTGAGGGCAACTGCCATATTCTTCCTTCACTAACTCCTCCTCAACCTTAGGTCTCCACTAGCTGTTCCCCCTCCGTTCTCTCCTGGTCATCTCCTCTGGTTTGGCACCTGGGTCAGGAGCTCCTCCTAGACTTTCCCACTCTCACTCTATTTCTCTTGCCGGGTGTCTCCCAAATTCTGAGACCATTCTAGTTTCTTTCATCATCAAACTCCCTAGTATGCAAAACAGTATACATTACGCACTAAGCTAACATTAGTTCACTTGACATGAGAAAGAGGGACTTGGAATCCAAGGGCAGGCAGTTGCAGTCCTGGGCCTGGGATAACCACATTTTCAAGTCTGAATAACTGACTCCAGCAAACTACCCAGAGAAGGAGCTCTGTGTTTAGTCATCACGATGGTCAAAGGCTTGCTGAGCATCCTAGGTGGACCAGTGGGGGCATCTACAGAATGGAAATGAATTTGGATGGCTTCCCATAGGGTCAAAATTCAGCTAAGGGTGAAATGGGCCTTCCCAAGCCCAAAGGAGACATGAATGGTTTCTGCCAATCCTTGTGTTCAAGTCCTAGACATCCTCTATCTGAAACTGGTCATCAGTCATCAAGGTGGATCACCTCTTGCCAAAACTGAGTAGGCTGTTTCCATAGCAACTTCTTTCATCTAGGATGGACCTAACAG